CCCCTATAACACGATCATCGGGGCCCATGCGGGTATATGATTTTGCATATATTTTGCAAGATGTATTTGTGTAGTAATTATATGTATGCAATGACATAAGTGTGTACAACATATTTATGTTTATGCATGCATGAATGCGTCATCACTCTTTCGACGCATGAGGGGGCATTTTAAAATCTTTTGCATAAATCATTTGTACTGGAGACTATTATTTAAATGTGTGTAAATGCGTAATGTTCTACTTGAAAGTCCGCAGATATCTTCTATTGATATGAGTATTGTGGATCTGGTGGCTTGACATTACGAATTGAATTTCATCTTCTACATGTTGTCTTCGCTGATATGTTGTGTATTAAAATTAGTAGACACTTTTTGTCTGCTTGTAACATGTTGCAGATCCAGTGACATGATACTACATCATAAGTTGTTTGCTACTTTATGCATATGGGTTGTTGTTGAAAAATGCATAAGATTGCGCTTGAGAATTTGCACACGCCTTATGTCTGCTTGTATGCATGTTGCAGATTTGATGGTGTGACATTGCAAATTAAGTTTCATCTTCTACATGTTGTATTTGCTGTTGTGCTATGTATTAGAATTGGTAAACACTTTCTATCCACTTGTATACATGTTATAGATTAGATGGCATGATACTACATAATAAGTTATTTGTTGCATCATGTTGTTGTTGTTGAGAAATGCACAATATTTCACTTAAGAATTTACACACATCTTATATTCTCTTGTATGGATGTTGCAAATCCGGTGGCATGGCATTACGAATTTAATTTCATCATCTACATCTTGTCTTTGTTGATATGTTGTGCATTGGAATTGGTAAATACCTTTTGTCTGGTTGTATACATGTTATGTATCTGGTGGCATGACACTACAGCTTAAATTTTTTGTTTCTTCATGCAGATGGGTTATTGTTGAGAAATGCATAAGATTTCACTTAAAATTTTGCACATACCTTATGTTTTCTTGTATGCATGTTGCTGATTTGGTGGTGTGGCGTTGTATTGCAGTTCATTGTCACTTTATACATGTAGACTGACGTGCACTAACAATCCTCATGTGGCAGCTCGTACATGCTAATTATCTACTGCAGTTCTTTCGTATCTGCTTGTTGATGGCGTATTGAATTAATGACGGGCCACTTGCAACAACTCACAAATACATGCATTTGTTGCATATTATCTTCCCTTGGTTGTAGAATATCGAGGGTTCTTACTGCTATTACATAGTTATGGGCAATAAAAGTATTGTAGCATTTATTACCTCTTGCCATGCAACTTATTGGTGTTTGGTATGTGCTTCTCTTCATCCACCTTTCCTTATAGTGGATTAGTGTATTTACCTACTGTTGAATTGTGAGCTATTGCATTTATTTATGTTCTGATGTTGAATGTAGGTTAAGTCACATTCATCGTCGATTTCTTCATGTATATTGAGCAGCAAGTCTCTACATTCATCGCATGTTAATTTTCAGTGCTTCTAAGGGGCTATAGCTTTCATTTTCTAACTAGTTGATATTGACAGTAGGATTGAGTCACAATCATTATTAAATTTTCCTTGCATGCTAGTTGACAAACTTGCTATATATGCTTGGATGCCCTTCTGCTCTTGTGGGAATTGTCGTGTGGGTCTATAAGACACCTGATGTCAGTTGTAGGGATATCGTTTCTTTCACAGCTTATCTACCGTCATCATCAATAAGTAGGCTAATGCATTCATTTAGTAATCTATCTGATGTTGTATATAGGAAGACTATCACATATGTAACTCATTTGTTGTTATTGATGCTTGTTAGCATTCGCATGCTCTATGTATATAATACACTTATGCATTGCCTATTATTGCTTTTTGTATGGATTGTTTTATGCATGATAGTTCTTGATTCTTGCCTATAGATGAACTATCACTGTAAGCTTACATTCATCATATATCATACCATGTACATCTTTGCTAACATTTGCATTTTGATTGGCATGAAGGTTTTCAATATTTATTAAAAGCTTCATGCTATTGATTGTAAGCACATTGATTAAAATGCAACCACATTTGTCACACATCCTCTACTTTTACTCATAAGCATATTGATGTGTCCATGGAAAATTCCTCCTTCGTAGTGCCTATGAATCACCTGCTACTATTTGCAACTTGGTAGATTGAAGATTATAAGCCAATTTAATGTTCATTCTCCACCAATCATATGAATTGGGAGTTTATTTTCCACTTGCGTCGTGTCTTGTTTGTTTATGCTTATTTGGATGATTAAGATTATTAGTTAGAATTGGTTTTTATGCGATTGAGTGTTTTAAAAATTAAAATATAGTTCCATGCTTATCATTTTAGTTTGGTTCCCTGCTGTCCTTGTTCGAGTCGAGTTCAAATCCCTTATTTGTTCATTTTTTATACCCAGTTCATTGTCATTTGATCCAATTTCAAGACCGCTGTTCACTAAAAATTTTGGTAGCCTCCTAGCATATTCCCTATTTGTGAGATATTCCAAGATTTTGAGCCTTTCCACTACGCCAAGAAAGGTGTGTATGATAGGTGTTAGACGACACCTCGGCTGAACTCTTCAATCTCACCACGCCAAGAAATATGTGTATGAGTATTCAGGAGTACCTGTTTAAAATGTAGAATTATTTTCCTATAGGCGCACACACACACACACATAATTAGAATATTTTATTACTTTTACCTGATTTTTAAAACACAAATATTGTAATTTAATCAATTCACATTAGTGCTTTAAGTTAGAGGTGTCAATTATTGACCCGAGCCAATTATCCAACCGAAGAAGACTCAAAAAATCAAGTTTCGAGTCAACCCGTTTAACGAATGGGTCCAGTTTATAACCTGTTTGAAAAATTGAGTCAAGTCTAGGTCAATCCGCTAACCCAAAATTGACTCGATATCTGGTTGCCCATTCACATTCTACTTATGCACCCACACTACTTCGCTTGCTTCGTGCTTTACTGCATGCACATTTGCTTTGCACTCGCACTCGAACTTGCACTCGCATTTTGAGTAGCTCGCGCTCACACCTCAAATCCCTGTACCTGTGCTTGAATCAAACCTAGCACTCATGTTAACGTTGCGCAGCTTGTGCTAGCACCTTGTCCTCGCCATCATCCTCACCCTCGCCCTCTTGCATTGCACACCTCGTACATGTGCAACACAATCCATACCCTCACCTTGCTCACTTGCTATTGTTCGCAACTCGAATTAGTCATTAGCGAGTAGGTTTGGGTCAGCCCAATAACTCATCGACTTAAATCTGGGTCTGAATTCTTAACCCCTTTTCCTAAACAGGTCGGGTTCGAGTTGAAAGGGTGTTAGTTTCGAGTTCGATCCAAACCCAATCCGCACTCGCACTCGCACTCGCACTCACATTCGAGCAGCTCGCGCTCACACCTCGCATCCCTATACCTGTGCTTGAATCGAACCTAGCACTCATGTTAACGTTGCACAGCTCATGCTAGCACCTTGTCCTCGCCGTCACCCTCACCCTCGCCCTCTTACATTGCACACCTCGTACATGTGCAGCACAGTACATGCTCACTTGCTATTGTTCGCAACTCAAGTTAGCCATTAGTGAGTAGGGTTGGGTCAACTCGATAACTCATCGACTTAAATCCGAGTCTGAATTCTTAACCTCTTTTCCTAATCAGGTCGGATTCGAGTTGAAAGGGCGTTAGTTTCGAGTTCGATCCAAACCTAATCCGACTCGACCCGACCCGAATACCCATTTTGACACCCTATAAGTCCAAATTGCCTTAACTTTCACCACCAATTGCTAAAGCCTTGTAAAATTCTCACTTAAAATTCTCTTCCATATATTAAAATTATAAAATGACTATCACAACGCAGAATCAATGTTGCACCGATATAGATATGGCGACACGGATACGACACGGTACGAATATGAGACACGTCAATTCTTAAAAATAAAGCATACGAATATGATGTAGATACGACATTATAATATATAAATCATACATAAAAATTAAGAAAGTAATCAAAGCGTAATATTTGAAATGAAAAAAAAAAAATTTGAATTGGTCTCTGATGGACCATCATCAAATCCAATTCCTACGCCACTAGAGTTCATTATCCTACGAAGGATCGACACAATTAAATCACATGAATTTAAAACATAAAAATTTTTAAGTAAAAGTGTAGATATGTAGCAGATATGCTGGGGCCCTTAGCGATTTCGATCTGCCCGGTCAGGTCGCAGGATCAAGGGGCAACGCTCCTGCTGGGATTTCCGACGGCAGCGCTCTCCCGGAACAAATTATTATTATAAGAGTTGTGTTAAACCTTTCTCTAGCTTATTTGTGCTGTTTGATACTGAGCATGATACCGAACATTGCGGAGAGGTACTGAGCGGTACCGAGTTAGGACACTTTTTTTTTATTATTTCTTAGTAGGACACACATATGGACACACATATCATATCTGATACGTGTTCGAGCAAATTTAAAAAATATTTTAATTGGACACGACAAAGCTGTATCCAACATGTGTCCAATATAGGATGTCTCGTAAATAGAAGTAACTCTGCTACATAGCACAGAAGTACCGGAACGTTGACCTTTTTGTTAGCGCAAAGTAATCGATCTGTGATAGCAATTTTGACCACTTTTAGAAATTCAAGAATTTTTCTGTGATCTCATATGCTTCATTTACAATCACTACTATGACACATCGATTTTGAATGAAATCAAACACCACCCAGCTGAATTAAAACTACAGCTTGAAATGACCCTTTTCCTGAAGAATTTATTTCATTTTCAGATAAAGGGCAATATAATTATGACCAACTGACTATAAAAAAATCAACTTCATTGATTCATTGAAAAGGATTTTAACCTAAATAAAATAAAATATGCCTTGAAGTTTTACAGGCGTAACATTAATTAGCAAGTTCTCTGCATATGCTAAGATCTGAAACAATACAAGCTCACTGGAAGGACTCTGCATATCTAAACCCATTTCTTTGCCGCAGTCATCATCTTCTCTTCCTGCAAGTTTCTCCTTCGATACTTTTTCTGATCTGTGATAGAAGAAGCAATCTTCCTTGGTCTTACCGAAGCATTTGTTTCATCTTTCATGCTCACACAATTTTCCTTGAAAGGGCTCATTGCTTTCTGTAGCGTTGAGACAGAAGAGCCCATAAGCTTTGTTATATCAAGCTTATGAAGAATTTCATTAGTTGGAATACATGAAAGATTCACACCACCCTTCTGAGGAGAATCAGAGTCTGAAGATGATGGGCTAGTGCTGCTCATATCATAGAGAATATTGTCAGTCATAAGCGGTGGATGATAAGTGGTTGACTGTGAAGAGGCCCTATATGATGGTCTTCGAAGCCTCGTGAATTTGACAATCTGCAACAAGTTTGCACTGACGCTAAGTTTCAGTAAAACATTGTACTTTTGAAGTTTATGGAGGGTCTTACCTGTTGCTCTAAAAGCAGCATATCCTTTTTCAACTTTGTGATTATCATGTTTTTTCTTCTTATAATTTCTTCCAGTTCTGTAATCCTCTATTTAAGAAGAAATAAAATCAACGTAAGAGAAAGGTTTAACAAACAGAAAATGCAGAATTTTGTATTAAAAGACAACCTTAGAGTAGGTAACATTGGAAGCATGAGCAGCAGTTGTCAGTTCCTTAATGGTGTCGTCCTTCTCTTCACATTCCTTTCTAAGATTGTAAAGCTCCTGTTCGGTTGCCAATGTGCTCAGCTGTACAGGCTAACAAATTCAAAAAACAATTGTTATAAATTATTTGGTTATGATCCCCAGTTATCTCAAAAGATAAATATGCATCAAAAGCAAGTGAAGATCAATTTATGTGTTTAGGAAAGAAAGTAAAGAAAAGACGGATGGATTTGAGAAATTTATCCTCGTCCAACTTCACCTAACTCATCTACAGTCACCGACCAACTCGACACCTATACCGCATTACCATCGATTGATGGGAGAACTACATGTTGAGATTTAACTCCTCCCCACTTTTTGAACCCTATAAAAGGAGGGGGAAGGGGAAAATGGGGTCTCTGGATTTTTTGTCTTGGATAGAGGAATGAAGTCCAACGGAATTCTAATTTTCATCACTAAGAAGAGTTCACACATTAGAGAGAAAAAGGAGAAAAAAGTCAAAAAACTATGATCATCAAAGAAATATCCTTAATGCCTTGCATTATTCCTTCTATACAGCACAAGCTCTATCATTCAAAATCTACTGTTTTTTCTCTATTCTTGTATTCCTGATTTGGATAATAAAGATTTTGCCTAATATACATTTTTCAAACTCATTCTCTTTCATATCCTATACTCAAACTTTATTACATTCTCCCTAGCAGCTTTCAACTCACATGTGAAGGCAAGTACTGTCAATCATCATCCACCGAACTACATAGGATCCAACAGATCTAACATATTTAATATTCTAACCGGTTCATCGAAACGTCAACATTATGTGACCAAATCATTTAAGGCGATTCTCTCTAGTCTTATTGACACTAGAGCTACTCCAACCTTTTTATGTATATAATTGTTTTGCATTTTGTCTCTAAGAGTAAAACAACTCATCCACCTGACCATCCTGCTCTCTTTAACATAATTTTTTAAAAGATTAATGTCATGATTATTTGAAAAGTTTTATGCTGACTGTCGACTACCTAACACAACCCTCCACTTTTCTCATCCAGGACATGGGACCTGGCAACAGCAGTTTATCCTCTTCTCTTTAACACTTGACTTAATTTTATGCTTCTCTTTTAATGGCCAACATTCTACGCCGTAAAACAATGTAGGTATCACCACAATCTTATAGAATTTTTACTTAAGTTTGAGAGGTAGTTTTCTATAACACAACATGCCCAATGCATTCATCCACTTCAACCATCCAATTTGAATTCTACTAAATAAACATTTATGCAGCATAAAATTAAGCATACTATTCTCTTAACATTTTATATTGTTAATGCCATGTCAAGCCAAATACACCATGGTATTATGTTCTATTATTACATGCCAGCCCTCCACACTATCTCCTGTAAATTAGAGCTATAATGGAGGGCAAAAGTTTTATGCAAAGAATTATGATTTGCATTAGATGTGAATAATGTGTATAGTTTGTACTTTGACTTATGTATAGACAAGTACTTGTGCCATACATTAATATAAAAGCTCTTGTCTAGACCAATGCACAAACATTTTCACAAATATTCTCAATGACGATCACAATGCTGCAAATAATATAGTTGTTGACAAAATAACATAAACCAAAATACAAGGATTGATAATCCATGTCTAAGCGAGAGGAACAGTTGCGGAAGACACAAATTTGAATAACAAGATGAAAAAAGGAAAAGAAGAAGAAGAAAAAAAAACAAAACAAAACAGATTGACAGCAACAGAAATAAATACTAAGCACTAAAACTGGCCAACCAAAGGTAATTTATATCTCATTCGTGAATAGAACAAAAATGTTTTAGTTGCCTCACCTGAGTATCTACAGAAGATGCAACACTCCAAAAATCAGATAGATCAGACATTCGACGTTCCTCTTGCTCAGTTACTATCTCATAATTCTTCTCGATAGATCTTTCTTTGCTCGGCTCAGTCATGCAAACATCCTATGGACAAATATCGGTTAGATATTATTTAATCAGAAGCATCAAACAAGAAAATAAGTAATCACAAAGCCTACTGTGAAAGCCTGTACCTTTGCTTTAATGGGTTGGTTATGACAGATAGGAAGAATGCCATCATCTAGGTTGAAATGAGCAACCCGACTACTGCCATGAAAGAATTTAGCTCCATTTTTCTTTAGCATTTCTGCAATAGTAATCTGCTCATTTTTGAACGGAAAGTTGCAGCCTGATGATGGAGAATGATCTTTCACAAAGCTCATTTGCTCCAACAAATTATCAAGTTTCATCTGCATGTTCTTTAGCATCTCATCCTATTCATGAGATGCAAAAGGCTAACAATTCATGTCTGTTCTAAGAAAAGTATAGCATCGGAAGAAATTTATTCAAATGAATGACACATAATTCATCCTACGTCACATGCGGGCCGACCATGTATGCTTATAAATTACAAGCAAGGAAAAACCTGATGCTTCAAATTCAAAAAAAGCCAAAAACTTCGATCTTGCTCTGAACTAGAGACGAAAAGGACATCCGGTGCTATATAAAAATCGCTGCAATATTTAAAGAGGTATTTTTTGCTGATTACTGCCTTTGATTTTTTTTTTTTAATGTTGAAAGAAAATTTTGCAATCGCATGGCTTCAATTTTATGCCCACTTGAAGGGAACGAAATTCCCAATTATTTGAGCAATCAAGGGGCCATTTTAATGCCCCATTTAATCACATTAAATTTAAAAATATATTTTAGATCCCAACACCAAAACGTGTATGGATAAAAATCAACATTGATTAAGCTTGAAAAATCCTCTTAGGGCATTTCCAACCGAAAAACTCAATTATCACTCCAAAATGCAGTAATACATCAAAATACAGGAACTCGTCTTCAATTGAATTCTATTTTCTAACACCAAAAAAAGAATGTTCCTGATATATTCTTTCCCATACTTTATTTTATATATTTTTAATCATATATTTATATAAAAAAAACATTTGGTGGGTGAACAGTGGCGTATAGCGGAAAGTTTGGTGTTCGGCTGGAGCGACCGAACGACGTCATATATATGTTTTACGTTCGACTGGAGAAGGCCTTAAGTTCTCATTTAGCTGCAAGAAGTTAAATAAATATGATATGAAAAATGATAAAATTTTCTTTTTCCTTCACTGATTTAGGTTTGCTAGAAATTAATGCTCACTCTAAGACTTCAGTTAAAACTCCCTCAAATATAAAAATTTTGGTTTGGCATATAAATGAATAGAAGAACAAAATGATCATTTTTTAAAACATGCTTTCCATTAAAAAGCTACAAATTATTTAGTTAAACTCTTTTTAAATATAACAATTTTAATTTAACAACTAAAATGAATAAAAATAAAATCCTCAATTTTCGAACATACTTTAATTCCTGCAGGCAACCAGGTGAGTCCTAATAAAAAAACATATACTGAGCTGATATAATTATTAAATTTTCTTTCAATGGAAGTAGGCTGGAATCAATTAAAGAACTGGATTGCATCAAAGACGACTAATATCTATGAATAAATCTGAAATACATTCCTGGTAAGCTCAACAATCAATAAGAAAAGAAAATGGATTTTAGGGACTAGCGCGTAATCTAAAATGTATGCATTCAAAAACTGCTGCTGCGAGAAATCCAACATATTTAAAGCCTAGTCTTTGCCCTAACGCATCACCTGCAGGAGACGTTGAACTACTAATTAAAAAAACAGTTTGAGATTTCTCTCAATGGAATATATTTAAGTAATTGCGCTGATTATAGCCACTTGAAGTCATTCGATCCGATTAAAAGCTAAGCAAAATTTATTTATAGGCTGGCTTAATCTGTTAATTTCATTATAAATTTAAGGGTTCTTAAAACCGTCCTGACAAAAAATACATCAGATGATGGTGTTGCAATTTTGCTTATTAGAGACAAAAAAAAAAAGTCAGGTTAATGTGTATTGAAATTGATGAATGGATTTTAGAGACTAACCCTAACGTCGACAGATTGCTGAAGCTGCAATATTCTCCGTGATCGCCTACTCTCTGCAGAGGAAATGGAGACTAGGGCAACGAGGAGGACGTGGTGGAGCGGCGTAAAGAGCTCCCAGGCCACAGCTTCTGCGGCACCCAGCCCCTTACCTATGGCGCGGGCAGACGTGGCCTCAGAAGCGCCTACGAAGTGGGACTGAAGCGAGACCCAGGCTTGCCGCCGGCGATCCGAAATGATAGGGCGGTCCGGTTCTGCAAAATGGCTCAATAGGCGAAGTGGGGATGGGGAAGGAGGGAAGGAGACGCAATGAAATGCGACCGACGCCGCGACTGGGAAGAAGCCGTCGGTGGCGTAGGCAATGGTCATGGCGAGTAGGAAGTGTGCAGAGGAGGTGGAGCAGCGAGAAGGGAAGGGGCGCGAAGAAATTATGGGTTTGATGTTTCAAATGTTTGAAAACGGGTGTGGAGGATAACACGATTTTGATGGGATTTACAAATGAAATAGTGCCACGTGGCAAGACGGTATTGCTGTTCGAGCGCCTTTCATGGCATTTGTCCTTTTAGACAATAATGAAAATATGTTTATTATTCATTTTATTAGGATTACTTTAACAACAACTTTAAGACCAAATCTTTTTTGCTTTAGTTATGGATGATCTTAATAGACATTTGCAAGTGGATGTATTTTGGTGTATGTTTTTTTGCTAATAATATTTTTTTTTGTTTATAAGACTATAGAAGGAGTTGACAAAAAACTTGAATTATGGTGATCAATTTTAGAGTCTAAAGATTCTTTTTTGAGTAAATCTAAGACTGGATGCATGCAGTGCAATTTTAGTGGTAATAGATCTAGTGGGGGTATTGTGACTTTAGGTGATAAGGTCATTGAAAAGGGTACATATTCTAGATATATCAGGTCTATTATTCAAAGCAATGGTGACTTTGATTGAGATATTATTAGTAGAATTCTCGTTGTATGGTTGAAGTGGAGAAATGCATTGGGCTATTGTATGATAGGAAAATAACCATCAAACTTAAATGAAAATTTTATAAGAAGGTCGTGAGACATAATGTTTTATGATGTAGAATGATGGAAATTAAATGAGGAGCCTAAAGTTAAAGTCTTATAGAGATAAGGATGATCAGGTGGATGAGTGGTTTTATATTTAGAGATAAAATGCGAGACGAGTATATACATGAAAAGGTTAGAATAGCTCCAATGGAAAATGAGATTAGAGAGAGACAACTTAGATGGTTTGGTCACATAAAATGTTAGCTTGCCATGAGAGTAGATATATTAGAGTTGACTTATGTCAAGAGTGGTAGAGGAAGTGCTTAAAAGACTTGGTTAGAAAGTATTAAGAATGACTTTTTTTCATTAGATTTAAATGAGAATTTGACTTTTAATAGGGCACAATGGAGAAAAATGATTCATGTAACTGACCCCACGTAATAGGATAAAGACTTGTTGTTATTGTTGTAGCGCGTTTTATCATCTTTTGTTATAAGCTTTTTTTTTTAGTATTATATGTTTGTGGTAGTGTACCTAACATTATAATTTGTTTTTCTAGCATGTGTGTGCAATGCTAGTATTCAAAATGTGCATAAAAACATTTCAATAAAAAATAGGTCAACCAAGTTATATTGTTATCATTAAAATACTATCATGATGATATATAGTCTAATAAAGTTAAAATTCTTCTCCTATTTCATTAGGCAAACATGCTTTCATAACATATATAACTCTTGGGTTTATATAATTCCTAAATTTATGCCTTCTAAAATTTTAAATTTAATTCACAACATAAGAAGTCATAAGATAAGATAAAAAAATAAGCATAAACAAATTTGATAAAACTTTCTTCCTTTTTTATTTTATTTATTTAAACCAACATTAAAAGAAATACATCAAGAAAACAAAATAAGTATAAAGTACAAAAATATAAATAATGAAATAGCACCCTTTATTGACACCTCAAAGAGGGGATGACATTGAAAAAGAGAAATGGACACTGAATCCAAAAATAAAAATCTCATACCTTGAAAGAGCTTTATTCAAAAGCTAGAAAGTGATAGATACCATTTTTAAGCTAAAAAAATTTGCTGTGAAACCAAGATCGATCTTCTTCATGCTTTTGTTTTTACTATCTCCTATAGTTCTCTTATTATTGTCACTGAATATCCCACCTTTTAGTTTATTGTGATATGTGCTCATTAATCTTTGGGTTAAGGCAAAGAAGTGATCAGTCCAAGCATCCTTTTGATAATCATAGGATGGGTATGAATAAGAGCTAAGATGATTAAGAAATAGGTGTAATTTCTACTTCTTTTTATTCAATACTATCATAAATTTGGAACACATGCTTTTAGTACTAAAGAAGATGCGAAATGAATGGTCAGTAAATAGTGCGGAATATGATCAAGTTGGCCCAAATAGGTTAGGATGTATTTAACATCTAAGAGATACCCTTTCAAGTAGCCAAAGTGTTAAGTTTGGTCAATACTTAAATTTTGGGTCGTGAGTGGAAGCGAGGTCTTGATATATTAAATTGACAAGCTTGAAAAATTAAATTTGGTGTGTTAAATAATAATAGCTAGTTATATAAAAGAGTGGGGTGATATTAATGCGATCACCAGCTTTTTGAATAATATTATTTTGAAGCATGTGTAGATAAGATGGATGTTTTTCACATGACCACTAACTAGCATTTGATGATGGGGTAGAGGTTGTGACATACAACTTAAATGATTGAAAACCAATTATAATTAAAAGTAGTTACTATGGATTATGGGTTCACACTAGTAGTTGAAACTAATAAAGCACATCTTGATTGTTGATATTAAACAATTGATTACACACCATAGATGTCATGAGAATGGTTCTTCCTTTATAAGAAGACTTATAAAAACCTCAAATAGAAGCTTGAAGTGATATGAGTAAGAAAGGTTAATGAAAAAAGGAAGTGTAGTTTCAACAAAAAGATAGTAGATGGAATATGGTATAAGAAATGGTTATAACAAGTTTGGAAGTTCCATATGATAAGCTATATGAGTGTTTTTTTTTAGATAAAACCCACGGCGGGGCCTACGCTTTAATATAAAAAAATGATTACAAAGTCCTTAAGAGAGAAGATCAACTCACTAATGCTCCAACGAGCTACAAAACCAAATAAAAAAGACCTAGGAGACGAAAGTCTACACTAACAAAAAATAATATATAACCTAATAACAAGCTACCGATGCTACATATAAGCATCCAAAAAAGAAATATGTTATAAAAGAGAGGGAGCACGATCTTTCAAGTAGCCAAAGCGTCAAGGTTGGTCAATACTTAAATGTTCGGTTGTGAATTGAAGTGATTTCTTGATATATTATATTGACAAGCTTGAAAAATTAAATTTGGTGTGCATGAAATAATAATAGCTAGTTATATAAAAGAGTGGGGTGATTTTGATTCAATCACCAGCTTTTGGATTAATATTGTTTTGAAGCATGTGTAGATAAGATGGATGTTTTTCACATGACCACTAACTAGCATTTGATGATGGGGTAGAGGATTGTGACATACAACTTAAATGATTGAAGACCAATTATAATTAAAAGTGGTTACTATGGATTATGGGTTCACACTAGTATTTGAAACTAATAATGCACATCTTTATTGTTGATATTAAACAATTTATTACACACCATAGATGTCATGAGAATGGTTTTTTCCTTTATAAGAAGGCTTGTAAAAACCTCAAACAGAAGCTTGAAGTGATATGAGTATGCAAGGTTAATGAAAAAAGGAGTTGTAATTTCAATAAAAAGATAGTAGATGGAATATGGTATAAGAAATGGTTATAAGAAGTTTGGAAGTTCCATACGATAAGCTATATGAGTGTTTTTTAGATAAAACCCACGGCGGGGCCTAGGCTTTAATATACAAAAACGATTATGAAGTCCTTAAGAGAGACGATCAGCTCACTAATGCTCTAACAAGCTACAAAACCAAATAAAGAAAGACCTAGGAGATGAATGTCTATACTTATAAAAAATAATATATAACCTAATAACAAGCTACTGATGCTACAAATAAGCATCCAAAAAAGAAATATGTTATAAAAGAGAGGGAGCACGATCTTTCTACAAAAATTATATATGGCATCCATATTCAACTTAACCTACAAAGCAAAAATGTTGCATGGAAAAGGATGTGATACAAAATTTTATAGATAATCCACATAAAACAAAAAGGAGGATAAAGACTGATAGAGCTTAGGATATAATTAGTAGAAAACGCCTCATAAAGGTAGTCCACAAGTCACTCAATCGTACCCTCATGAGCAAACACCTTCCAATAGCCTAAGGGACCCAAACAACAAAGCTTAAGGACAGTAGCAAACAAATTCAACACATCCAGAAGATCACAAAAACACAACCCATAAGCAGTCCAGAACAGGAAGTGAAACAAAAAATACAAACAACAAAGCTTAAGGCCACCAGAAAAATAACATAACTCGTCCAACATATCACCAATACCCAACCCAAGGGCACTCCAACACATAAAGTGATTATAAAAATCGAGAACATAAATAGCACAGCCCGAAGCCAAACTCTCACAATTACCCCTAGTCAACCAAAACCGCCACCTGAAGGTAGGAGAGCACCAATGGGAAAACCAATCAGCAATATCATATGTGCAATCACAGCTCAAGTCTAAATCCACCAAGATATAGATAAAATAAATAACACAGAAAGATGGAAGAAGAAAAACAAAAACAACAGCAGGAACCCAAAAAACCTCCGGAGAAACCACAGCCGAGAGCTGGAAAACCTCTATAAACTATAAAAACTAAGACTAGGATCAACAGGAAAGAAAAAAAATAGACCAAAGAAGTATGACCCAAAACTCCAGATCTGCAAAAGTAGCCAACCAAGTCACCCGAGAAAAACCAACACATCAGCCCTACTAAAAATTAAAAGCTTAAAAGAGAGCCCCCAACAACCAAAGATGGGGCACGAACTCACACCAGCAGAAAGAATAGGGGAAGCAAACAACAAGGGAAACAACAGAAGATCCAAACAAGCCCCAAGGCACCCCAGGCCAGCCAAGAATACCACCACCAGGTAAACCAATTAGATTTTAACATAGGGACTATCAAGGTCATCCAACCGAAATAGACCTTTAAGAGCAGCAAGAATGTTGACCACATTATAATCATAAAAATACTCAAGAGTACAACCCAAATTAGCAAGCCAAGAAGCACAAGCATTACCCTCCTTGCAAATATGGTGAAAAGAAAATTCATAAAAACCAAAAGATTTTTAATTTCCCTAACATGATAGAAAAGATTAGGAGAGCAACATATATCCTCCACATAA